CCGTCCCACCAAATTTATCCACCTTAGTCCGGTATATAGTTTTAGATATTATATAATTAGTAAGTAATTAAGAAGTGTATCAGTAAAATTAATTATAATATAATAAAAATAATTATAGTTTTAGATTAAGATGATTAAATAATTTAATTAAAATAAAAAAATTTAAATTATAAATTTTTAAAATATGATTAAAGTGTAATTATATTTAAAAAAAAATTAAATTATATGAAACATGCCGAATTTGTTGAGGGAATATATATTATTATATGTATATGTAAATGTGTACGGTAATATATATATATATCTATATATAAAGTACACTAAATAGAGAGAGATGGTGAGAGGAGATAGGTAATAGCTAAATGCAAGGAAAAATAAAGTGAAATCATTTTTATGGAAACTCAAAATAATGATACTTACATGATGTGTTACAATACTCCTCATTAGCTGTTATTAATTGTAATGAATATTTTTCGTTAAAATTTTATCAAGAAAAAATTCATTGGGACATAAATTCAAATGAAGAAAAAGAAATACGTAATTTATGCTTTCAAAATTGGCCCCCATAATATGGACATTACTTTTAATCCCGTAATCGATGCAAACTGTTTTTCTTCATCAATTTTTCGAATGGCAGTCAGTAAAATATTAGTAAATAAATCTGTTAAATTTCCTGAAGATCGTAAGTAAAGAAAATTTTTGGTGAAATATATTTTGTTCTATCTCTCTTGAAATATTCTCCTTTTATTTGATCTATACAAATTGCATTATCTTTATATAAAATAATATGAAGATTAACATTTTCAGATCTCAAACCAATTTTTTAAAAATGTGGTGAATTATTGATCTCAACCAAACACATTCTCGACTAGCCTCATGAATTACTATTATTTCAGCATAGTTCGAAGATGTGGTGGTTAATGTCTGTTTAGTGGATCTCTAGGATACCACAATACCGCTGCAAGTAAAGATATAGTCAGTCTGAGACTTGACTTTATACGGGTCAGAAAGAGACCCAACATTTGCCTATTCAATCAATTCATGTCCAAATTCTTTGAATATAATAAAATGAGATCAATTGTTCCTTAGATATAACAAAAAATATGTTTAATGCCTTTCCAATATCGTTATGTTCACATTGCACTAAATCGTACTAATAAATTTACAATAAATGCTAAATATGATATTGTATTGTTAGTCAAATACATTAGTGCGCCAATAACATTTAAATATGGTACTTCATGACAAATTATATAAATAACTTATGTGTATATACAGATTGGTGGATCAAATTCTATCTTTTAAACGTTCAATTTATAGACAAAGACAGAATTTCATTTTTCCAAAATCCTTGATTTAACTCAATTTTCAAATATTCAATAACTTCTTGACCTATTCACGAGTTTCAATTAAAATCAAATCATTCACATAAACAGTAATTATAACAAAACTTCTCCAACTTTTCCTTATAAAAACATATTGGCAAATAGAATTATTGACATATATTTCTTTAAAAAATGATTCACTAAGACGATTATACCACTTGCAATCAGATTGTTTAAGTCCATACAAAAAATTTTGTAATTTAATAGAACAATATTCTTTTGACTTCGATTTGCATGCTTCAGATATACTGAATCCTTCAAGGATACTCATATAGATATCAATATCTAATGAACCATAAAAATAGGCAATTACGACGTCCATCAGACGCATATCCAATTTTTTATGAACTACCAAACTGACAAGATATCGAAATGTTATTCTATCAATTATTGGAGATTAAATTTCATTAAAATCAATTTCAGGTCTTTGTAATTTTCAGGTGTTTGTGCAATGGAACCAAAAACTTTTCATTTTCGTAGTGAATTCAATTCAAACTGGATCGCATCTTTTTATTTTGGTCAATTTTTTCCTTGTCCACATTCATCAACTATTATAGTTCAGGATCCTAGTCATTTTCTATTAAGTTAAGTGCTAAATTATATGCAAAAGCATTTTCGATAATTATGTCAGTTCTAATACTTTCCATCAGTAACATAATTTATTAAATTTTCAATAACATCGTTCTCTTTAGGAAAATTATATTCAGCTCAACGTCTTCAGAAAGTTTATTATGATCAACTTTTTCAGTTACTACTTATTTCATAAGAATTTTGATTAACATTCAATTCATCAATCATTTCATATTGTTCTTCATTTTTTCCGAATATTTTTATCTTTATAATCTAAAGGCCTGTCACACTTTAGGTGTGCATTCGGCTCATTAGCACTTTGTATTTGTCCTTCAAGGACAAATTTTATCTGGTGCATTCTTTGTAGACCTTACTGTAACTTATTTGTTATTCGCTGCAAATGTATAATTTATTGCACTTCTAATTCACTTTGGCTATTACGAGGATCAAAAGAATTGAAAGGTATTTTCCAAGTAATTTTTCGATTGATCAGTTTGTTCCCCTATGGAAAATATGACTCATTAAAATGACAGTCAACAAATCGAACTATAAACAAATCATCAGTTAATTGTTCAAAATATTTACTAATAAATAGTGATTTGTACCCGATATATATCTCTAATCTTCATTGGGGGCCCATTTTTGTGTGTTAGAACAGTAATACTGGTACATAATTGCATACTCAAATGTTTGCAAATGAGATATATTGAGTTTTTCATTGTACACCAATTGTACTGGGGAGTAGCTATAATAACTTGTTGGTTTTAATCTTACTAGTGCTACTGCATGTAAAAATGTGTAACTTCAAACAGATACGAGAAATTTAGATTTCATCGGCATAGTTCTTGTAATTAATTGCAGCATTTTTTTATAATAATTTATTTAGACCATTTTGAATATGTATATACGAGACAAGATGTTCAATATCAATCATAATATACATACAATAAACATCAAATGTCTTGGATGAATATTCACAAGCGTTAATACAAATTTCTTTATTTGGTGATTAAGAAATTGTATCTGTAATTAATTATTTGAGCAAGCAACATCGCAAATGTCAAATTGCGGATAAATAATAAACATACATGCGACAATTGGGTAAATGCATCAATATGTACCATAAACTATTGAATGGTCCACACGATGGATCTAGATGTCCACATATGTCACCTTAAATTCGTTCTAAAAATGTTGGGATTCAATTATCACTTATGGTGGCTATGGTTTAGTTATTAACTTTTTTTTTTTTTTAGCAAACAACACAGTTAAGCTCTTTTATATTCAATAACTTTTGATTTTTCAAAGTATGATCATGAGTATTGCCTAAGCCCGTCATGTCAAATTATAAAATTTATAAACTTTTAGTCTACCAGATACATTTCAATTGCATTCACTTTATATAATATAAACCGAAAGACAGTGATAACAATTTTTCTAGTACATATTCATGTCCAACGAAGATTTTTTTAATCAACAAAAATTCGTTATTTGGCTAATTTGATATCTCAAATGATATCAATTTATACGAATATCGTTAAAATTTAGCAATTTTTTTTTTAAGATTTGCTAAAAAAAAAATGCATTTAGAATGTCAAGTTTTATTCATTCGATTAAAAATATTATAGTTCTTCCGGAGTCTTCAATCAATTTCGCTCTACCACCTCTGGTATTAACATAAATTTTTTCGAACTTCAAAGAGGGTAAGAGGAAATAGAGAGAGATAAAGAACCTAATGCTAAAAAAAAAAAAAAAACAAATGGAGTGAATTCATCTATTTAATTTAAACAAATCATGCTATTTATAAAGTTTCATAAAGTAATTAGTTGCATATTGATTTCATGGAAATTCTAAAAATGACACCTACACACTTAAATAATGTATCACAACAAAATAAGCATATTTATATTTTCTTTATGCTCGAAAATATAACAAAAAAAAACTTTGAAATGAGCTCCACGAAATATTCAAAAACAATAAAAAGTGTTATATGGATATTGCTCCCCCCTCGTCATGTAAATTTTATGCTCAAATAGTTGAACACAAATTTAAATAAAAATAAATAATAATTATTATGTGTTAATTATGAGTATGTTTCTTTTGTCCAAAAACTCTAAATTTTAATATTTGAACTCTGCATTTTTTCGAAAAAAATATATTTTTTTTCTCTCACAAAATATCATATCATATATTATTTTAATACCAAATACAAACTAAATTTTTTTCAAACTCATCAAAAGAAACATAACTTATATCTCTTTAGTTGGATAGAAAATTCAAAAATAATAATTATTATGTGTTAATTATGAGTATGTTTCTTTTGTCCAAAAACTCTAAATTTTAATATTTGAACTCTGCATTTTTTCGAAAAAAATATATTTTTCTCACAAAATATCATATCATATATTATTTTAATACCAAATACAAACTAAATTTTTTTCAAACTCATCAAAAGAAACATAACTTATATCTCTTTAGTTGGATAGAAAATTCAAAAATAATAATATTTTAATATAAAATAAAAATATTATAAATAAATATTACAACATTAATAAAAAAAATAATGTGATAAATAAAAAAATGACAAATTAATTATTATTTATTAAAATAAAAATAATAAAATTACCAATGATAAAATTGTCTATTTTGTACAAAAGTGTAATTATAGCATACCTAGAGAGAATTTCTTTGTCTTTTATAATAAAAATATACAAAATAGATAAATAAAAACGTTTTATTTTTCTTGTGATAACCCAAAAAACAACATAAATTTAGATAAATTTAGATAATGAAAGAGTAATTTTTAGAATCATGACTACCCAAACTTTCATACCCACGTAAAGAGTTACCTATTATAATTTATATATAAAATAAAAAAAATAAAAAAATAAAAAAAAGATGTGTTCGCCATATATATATATATTTTATCCATTCAAAACAATATATTTTTTATATATCTTAAGCAAGAAAGGACAAAATGTACTGACATGATCACTCGCAAAAAATAATTAAATCTAACAATGATAGCTTCAAAGAATAAAAGGCTGTTCATAGGAGATATTCTTAAAGGAAAAGCCAAAAGAATTGGATAACCAACATTGTTAGTGGTAGTATAGTATACATAAAGCCAAAATGAATTTCATTGGGAAAAAAGAAAAGAATTTCTTGAGTTGCAAATGAATCAACTAATTTCATACATTATAATGTAACTCTATATGGCAAGAATAAGAAGAAGATGGGTAAGGCATACATGTGGCGTTTTCCTTCTCGAACGCGCCAGCTCACAACATTGTCAGACAGAAATAATAACGCCAACCGTATTTTATGGGCGATGGATTGCTATTTGCTGTCTTATTTTCCCTAGTTTGCCAGCTGAATCCTCATGTCCCACACATTCGAGTAATTGAGCAGGAAGAAACCACCTGCAATGGAGTTTGAACAGGGATTTAGTTGTAATGATGTCTCGAACCAAAACAGTATTTCACATGCTTATTAAGGAGCTCAGGCAAATTTATTAGCATGTATTGCAGCTTCAAACAAGATATAGAATCATTGTTTCTGAAGAAAAGTTATGTCAGAAATCTCAGGAAACCAATTATTGGAATGCTAACCACTTCAATTCGACCATCCCGCCAATATAATCAACGTTGTACCAACTACATGTATATTGCCACCTTCTAAAACAATAAGAGAAAGATAACTTGGTTGCGAGGATGAAAATAGTGATCTCACCCGTTATATTCTATATGTTTCATTTGCCTGTCATCGAGTTTTCATTAAGGTTGAAACATGTAAAGGAAAATTCTTAAATTGCCACTATTTTATTTAAAGAAAACATGAATTGCATCATATACATGATATTTATATGTAAGAGATGCCGACATTTTGAGAGTGCCTTCAAATTGTCGGTGTCTCTAACATACCTGGACATGCACTGGCAGCAAGTTGGAGCATGAATTAGAAAAAATATTTATAATTAATAAGGCCTCAGTTACGTACTGCCAAAATCACTTTAAAGGGGAAGAAGTGGTTTTCTTTCATCCTCCACATGATGACTAGCCTGAGACAAGCAAAACAAAAATTTCAGTCATCCCTGCAAGAAAGAGCATTCGCGTATTGCACAATTGAGAGAGAGAAGTACAGAACATATTTTACCTCCTCATTGGCTCCGGCAGTCATGTTTATGAAGGATGAATTCTTCTCCCTGGTCATAGAACAGAAAATGTAGTGTATCAATAGCTTATATATCTTCAGAGGGAAGTATTAAAAAAAAAAAATTGGCGAGGAGCTTATGTTGTGTGAAATGCTAAACAGGCAATGACCAGAGGGCCCTTCATCATAAAAACACAAAAAATGTTGGTAACATACTACAGATTTGGAACAAAAAAAATTCTGAACAGAACCTCCATTGACACACATCAAACTTCTATATTTATTTTAATAACTATGTCCCAGAATTCAGGGATAGAATGTAATCACACTCTATAATGTGTCCAACCAGAGAAATAATAAGACCGGCATAGTCAATCATTCTAGTGATGGAAGTGGACCAACCAGCAGAGCGTACTGTTAAAATAGTCTTTCGAATAGGCGAGATGCATTTCCATGGATTGTAATCCAGTTGGAAAAATGAACACATTAAGATGGGAAGGCAATAAGGTAAAGCATATACCTGTGAGTATCCTGTACATCCATCATCTCAAGCACCCCATTTTGTTGTTCATCCTTGACTTTTGAAAGAGGTGAAAAGAACTGACAGATGGAATATGTACGACATTACTTCCAAAATATATCAGTATGTACATACAAATATGTTTATATATATTTATATATATATTATAATTCAGAATAGATAATTCACCAGCTTGATACCTGATGCATTGAGATAAAAACCACTGATATCCCTAACATAAAGTTTATGGTCAAAGTATGGCCAAACAAAGCAGCAGATGCTATGCCAGTAAAGATAGTGGCAACAGTTGATGAATACTTCTTCAAAATTGTATCTGCCAGCATAAGAGAAAAGAATGTATAAGCATTTAACAGAGTTATTTAGCATAGAATAACAGCGGTAAACATTTAGTACAATAAATCCACTATAAAAGAAACTAATCTCAAGTTCACAGCTCTGAATCTTCCTCTCACCAGCATATTTAAAGAAAAAAGAAGAGAGAATCCCTTGTGCAGCATTGTTACATATTAAAAGCATTGTTGCTTTTGAATGCCCTTCCAATATGTTAAAGCTGTCAGGACCTGGAACATTGGCACACTTAATTAATAATGCAATCAAGTGTGCAGTATCGACAATTTCACACTTTTGGAAATATAATAAGGGCAGCACAAACTAGGTACTGCTTCATTTTATAACAATAGAGAACCAAATATTTCCAAACTGTTGCATAAACATTGAAGGAAACCATTTCACAAGTACCTTTAATAATAGCTGTTCCTAGAATCCCAAGAAAGTTGAATATAGCTCCATACCCATACAAAAATAAGTTCTGCAAAAAGAGAATAAAAGACAAAATAATGTCAAGAGCTAAAGCATTAGAAATAGTGAAACTCAGGATACAGAAAGAATAACAACTGTCATACAGGGGAAAATAAAAAAGCATGCTATCAAGTCATAGTGGCAGCATTAAATTAGTCTTACTCAAACCAATTCAGTTGAACTTCATCATCACCAAACAATGTGTTAAACAGCATGATGGGCTAAGGCATTAATAAGGCAATCAAGCTATATTTCTCAATAACCCAGTGTTTGTTTATGTTTGTGTGGGGATTTTGATTTGAATAGTAAAATTTTGACTTTGAATAGTTGTTTGATGTCATATAAATAGGAATAGATATGATATTTTGTATGAAAAATTGATTTTTATTGTAAATAAAAAAAAAAAAAAAAATAGATACTCCTTCTGCCCGCCAAAATTATGTCACTGTTCTTATTCTAGTTGTCTGCTAAACATATGCACAATTCATTTAGCGTGTGTGTACTTTAGATCATTAGAATGGATAATATCATATTTACTATACCTGATTAAAACCCGGTAATGAATAAAGCCAGCTACACTAATTAAGCATAATTAATCCTATCTAGATGGGTAGGATTAATTTATCCACATAATATTTATACTAAAGTTTATGTTATCCTATATTTAATTAAACGAAGTAAACATTATATTAATTAATCTCATGATTATATAATCTATTGAAATAATCCTAAGAATTATAATACTGAAGATAACACATCCTTATAGTAAACAACTTTATCCCCCTACAATTTTATTACACATATTTTAATAAATAACAACTAATTTGTTACTATTTTTCCTACTTACTCCACCACCTTTTTATCAATCAATAATAAATTTCCTATAATACCTCTACTTGACTTTTTACCTACCACACTTTAATATTAAAATATTTATTATTTCTTAATCTTTGTGCCCAAGCAAACCTATATGATTTTACAGGACGGAGACAATATTTGATTTGATGTTTTTGGAGACGCAAAAAATTGTGAATGGCAGAAATCAAAACAAGTCATCCAAACAAACACACCCTTAGTTGTGTTTTGGAAATGTTTGATGTTTTGGGTTGTTTGGGAATAGCAAAAATCTGATTCGAAAATAGTATTACTCAAACTCAATTTCTGCTCATATTTTGTGCACTCATTTAAATGTAAGTACGTTTTCCTGGGGAGGGAGTGATGTAATCGGTAGGTATGACCTACAGGAGGCAAATAAAAGAGGTAGAAGATTTGAAAAACCAAAGAGAACAAAAGGCATAGACGACAGCCAACTCTATCAGATCATATCACCTGAAGATAAATGCTGGTGTCATATTGGCTTTTCAAGGCATACTCATTGAAGACCGAGGCCATAGAAGGAATCGTAACCTGCATTGCATGTTCAAAACAGAGAATGAACATAGGAAAAAGTAACATGTAAAAGGGAAACAAATTTGTTGATAAATATCAAGGCATTTTCTTGGATTAAGGAACCATACTACTTACAAATATAAATGTATATACATATGCCCCAGTTGTAACCGGAAGACCCAACGCAGTGGAACCCTCAGGGAATGATTTAAGCTGATTTATAGTAATGCCAATGAGCAACAAAGCAAGTGCCTCCCACTGTGACAAAATATATCAGTATTAAATTTCATATGTATAAATATAGCTTGCCTTACAGTCTCCTCTTAAAGATGCTCCATAAATAGAGCTCTTACTACTCCATGTTTTGGTATGCCTCAATCATCCATGTTACATGTTATTATGATTGAATATACTTCAGTTTCCATTATACCTGAATTACTGAAAACCGCCGCTTCATTATGATCTTCAGTAGTATGGCAATAACCAAAACCTGTAAATCAATAAAAATGCACTGAGATGTTGAATAGTGACTGTTTACCAAAATCACAGTTCTCTGCAAAGTTGTAACTTCCGTCTTTATATATAACAGCCTTAGTATGGAAAGAAGCACACATACAAGTGGAAAAGGGAATGAAAGAGAGAGGGATTTGATCATTTTCATGGCCCAAGCTGCCCAAACTTATTCCATTACAATGTGTTGAAAATACGGATATGAGACAATAAACAGAAAAAGAAGAGATAGAACAAAATACCTTTAGATTGCTCAACATTTTCACTGTTGCAGGGTTGAAATATAGCTGAGAAAAGAATTAAACAGTTGTACTAAAATTAGAAGTGCTTAGAAGGAAGCAAAAAATCGTAGTTCAGTATATTCAAGTGCCCTATAGCTGAAAGAAGGTACTCTTGCAAAAGATCAAAACAAAGTTATTCCTGAATAAGATAATCAAATCAAACACATAATTTATATATAGGTTGAGGTTCAACAGTGGTTCACCAGTTAATACTCAATTAAAAAACATGGCACATCAATAAAAAGCTAGAACGAAATTACACAGATCAGGAAAGATATATGCCATATGGCGCATACCTGCATGATGAATTTCAGGTAGTTATTGATAGCATATAGAAGAGCAGGAACAGCAAGAAGCACATTATTACGAGCAGCCTGCAGGAGAAGATGAATAATTTTATCAAGAAAAGGCACCATGGCAGAAGGAAGATAAGAATGTGAGACAGTCATCTTAAGATGTTCATAGAAAAACCAAACAGTTCTACCAATACTGGTGACCAACAAGCTGCCTGAAAAGTATCCAAAATGCACTTGAAGATTATAGTGGAATTCATGAAGTTATATTTAGGAATCTAATGAATCTGAAAGTACAATCAGTTTTATATAAATCAAAAAATATGTTAATAACACATAAATATAAAGAAAAAACATCATGAAGGAAAACCATAACATGACATACTTTCTGGGGACTAAAATTATTAGTCCAGAACAATCAGAACCCACCAAAAAAATAAATACAATTCAATTTGATAAATTGATCAGCACTTTCTTTCACCTTAACTCCTGTAACTCACTTTTTGACAACAAGCATGATTGTATCTATTAATTCAAGAAACATTTATTTGTTTTTATACAACTAGGCATGAACTCCTTATGTGAATCATAACTTATGTTAACTTTGCAGGAGTCAGGATGAAAAATTGAAAAGAACTTCAAAAAGGAGTAGTGATTGAAAAGGGGCTGTTTGTAGAATAAAGGTATTTAGCAGGTAAGACACTGTTGGTAGAGGATATGTACCAACAGCCAACCATGTATTTATATAATGCATAACTACTAGATCAAGCATTTTTTGTGTTTTTGTAAACATATACCATATACATATCAAAAGGTTGTCAGTTTGTCACTAAAAATTTTCACCACCTTGCATCCCCCAACCAAATGGAACACAAAAACAAACATGAATCACATCACAGGTATCTTGGATCCAGGCATTCTACCTACATGATTAAGTTCTCCCACTTTTCAACTGAGTGAACTATCCATTATACTTCAAAACATGATCACAAAGAAAATTAATGTATCATAGTCATATATCACAAAATGAACTGTAAAACAGGCAAGTGATTTAGCAAGGTTTGCTTTTTCACTTAATCTTGATCATCAGACTTCAAAATCATATCTTTTCTACTCAAATGCTTCTTTTAGTTAAAAGTTTTTCATAAAATGCTAGATGAGTGTACAAACTCACCTGAATAAATGTGGAAAATGATAGAAGTGGCTTTTCTCCAACCTTCTGCCGCCTAGCCTACAAGAAAAACAATAGAACTCTAAGAACAACACAGATTGAAAATCATTTTGATGCTCATATAGATACATAATATCCAAATCCCTCATAAGCATCAGGTTACTACTCACATTATTAACGAAATTTTGCAGGAATTGATAGGAAAGACCATATTTCCCAACTTAATGATGAATATTGACAAAATATCATAATTTTTTTTGGCGAGCTACCAAACAGAAGATAGAAGACGAATGTGCTTTTACAAGAGTTGAATCACCCTCTAACTTCTAATAACACATGCTTGTCATTTTCCTCTAGGTTTTTGCTTAGTATATCAATAATAATAAATGCTTTCCCATCCAACACTTGCCTAAATCTATACCTAGATATATATATATATATCAACATATAATCAGAATCCCAATAAAAGAATAATGTAGAGAACAATTACCTGAAATATAAGCATTAAAACTGCAAATATAACTTTTGCAATTTCTGTCAAAAAGTTGACACTAATAGGACTAAAGTTGAAGCGCCCATCCACTTTTGACATATACACCAAAATAGGCTGAAAGACAAAAAGAACTGAAAATCAGATGGGCAAATAAAAGATTATGATGATCAAGACTATTATTTAATTAGTATCACATGCAATCATGTAGAAAAGATGCTCAGAGAAACATGATACTCAAAAGTCCAATAACAAACATTTAGAAAATAATAATCATAATAATAATAATGGAGAATCAATAAATGCATACATAGGTATTAAGATATATATACATCTGAATTATTAAAAACCTTCAATATAACAGAAAAGCTGAAACTCAACATCATTCAGTTATCTACATCTAGAATCTATTTTTTTCTTTTATTGACATAATATCAATGAGAAAATGCACAAAACTATGAGCGTATTGCAGGGTTGGGCAGCAAGTAGCAACTGGTGGACAAAAAATTTTGGCAATTATGTTACAGTATCCAGTAATTTTGGCAATTAATCTTGTTATCCTTACACTCTTCACTTTTAGCCTATAGCGTTCTATTCAGTTTTGGACCTAAATAACACTAAGCAATCTTTTGCGACACTTCTTCATTTTTTTATAGGGGGATTCATTATTCCAATAATTAATAATGTATACTATAAGGACTCAAACTACTATCAGTTGAACAGTTCTTCAAAGTGTTACATAATTTTCAATTTGTTGCCCTTATGGATAGAATTCAATAACAGAACTTTACAGAAATTGTGTCTAACTTATAGGATCATTCCCTGGTGTCAAAATCTCTCATCCAGTACTTAGGTACTGCCTAACTCCAAACTTTGACAACGAAGATTCTCCCTAGAGAGTAAAAATCTTGTTACTGATGAAAAAGTTAATAAAATCTTGGTACTTAGGTACTGCCTATCTCTCATTCCCTGGTGTCAAAATCTCTCATCAAGTACTTAGGTACTGCCTAACTCCAAACTTTGACAACGAAGATTCTCCCTAGAGAGTAAAAATCTTGGAATTGATGAAAAAGTTAATAAGATCCTATACTTATTTCAGCAAAGGCAGAGTTGAAAAATCAACTGCAGAAACAATAAGGTACAAGATCCCATTGGACCAGACATAGAAAGAGGTATCCTAAGAAAGTAGAACATATACCTGCAAACCAACAAGGATGCAATCTCCACCAACCAATAAGGCATTGAGAGCTCTCTGCTTTGATGATACCTTGCTCCTATGTTTATCATAAGCTCTTGAAATAGGTCTCGAGGACGGTGATACCAGCTTGGAATGACAGACACTACACTCTATCATCCCGTTCTTCATTAAGCCACCCAACCCAACTTCAAAGTATGGGGCCGTGCAGAATTAAACCTAAGCAACAGAATTACACCACCATCAGCTCCTTCTTCACCAAATACAAATTCTCCCAAACCCCCTTGATCGCCAAATCATGAATCAATCAGCAACCAAACAATCATAAGCTCGCGTCCAACATTCCCAGCAACAAAACAGACAAACAACGGAATTTTACAAACAACTCCCAAACATAACCACACCCACATTGCTCCCATTCTAATCCACCTCAAAAAGTGCTTCAAAACCAGATCTCGTCCAAACGAAAACCTCAATAAATTCCCCCACAAAAAAACCACACCAACCCCAATCCCAATTACCCAAACGGGATCAAACAATCAAACAACCAAACAAAAACAAAATCCATCACCAACACCCAAAAATAACAAACCTGATCTACCGAAATTGAGGTCCGGATCGCAAAATCAGCGGCAATCACAAACCAAATCGACAGAAATACACATACCTGGATCAACAAAAGTCGAGCCCGATCCCGATTCGGCGTGCGATTCAACGGCACGGCAGAAGCAGCTGGATCTGGCAGACCAAAATTAAAATCCCGCACTTTATATGAGATCCGAGCAGAGGAGTCCAGCAGGATTCAGCTTCCCTGCAATCAATCCTTCTTCGGCGCAGTGTGATTTTAAAGGGAATCGAAATATATACTCTGCAGCAGAGATTTCGACACGAGAAGGTCTTCTCTAGCAGACGAACCCAACAACGGCAGAAATTGGTCTCTTAACCACCGTTTCAAAAATTTCGACCTAACAATTAATTTAATATTAATATTTTTAATTATGATTATTAAGGGTTAATTAATTTTTATATTATTGATTTTGTTGTTGATGTGAGTCCATCGCAATTTTGACATTATTTGTATTCTCTATGCCGTGGAATAGTCGGTGAGGACAAGTGTACAAGATTCGATGCATGCTGTACAAGTACGACTAGTAGCCTATTGTTTGGAGCCACGTATGGCCGAAAGCCAGCGGTGGGGAAGAGTACAAGCTTCGGAAGCTAGAGTACAAACATGAAATGTCGGCTTATTGTTTATCGCCACGTGCGATTGAAACTTGAAAGCCTCCAACAATGCAAGAGGTAAAGAGCAAAAAGTAAGAGCATCCGCAACGTAGATAACCGATTTTACAATAAAATACTCATCCTAATTTTTTAATAAATTTTTATTTTTATATTATATATATATTATTTTTAATTATAGTTTTAATATTTAATATTAATTATTTATTTAATTATTATACTATATTATATTATATTATTATTTAACAATATTTTGATTTATTAAAAAATTATGAGAAAAAAATTATATTATTTATTATTTAATTAAATTTAGTTTTAATTTATTTTTCAAATTTAATTTTAATATCAAATTTGTATTTTTATTGTTATAATTATTATTGGTTAATTAAAAAAATAAAATATAAAAATAATAATTAAATTTTGGAAGAAAAAATTATATTATATTACATTACATTGCAATGATAAAAATAAATATTGTGATGTGATATAACAATGCATTTTAAAATATTAAACGAGAAAAAATTACATTATATTACATTACATTGCAATGATAAAAATAAATATTGTGATGTGATATAACAATGCATTTTAAAAGATTAAACGAGCCAAAAATAAATTGATTTGTTTAATATAATTTTATATTATTTAATTGCTTTAAAATTTATAATTATATTTTATTTAATAAATTAAATTAAATTTACTAATATTGATTTATTTAATATAATTATATAATATTTGTATTTATATATTTTAAATTTATAATTAATAAAATATATTCAATATTGGTATCATTGTGTAGAATACAAAATATTATGAACTATAAATATATTAAAAAATTTAAATATAACAATAAATTCAATATAAATTAAAAAAACAAAATATATATCATATATATCATATATATACATATATACAATAAGTGTCATGTGTCCCAATTGGCAATGGAATAAAACAGAGATGCTGGGAAGCAAGTAATTTTTATTTTTTTTAATTGTGATGTAGCGAGGAGATGCGCTTTTGAATTTGAGTAGTTGTATGATTTAATATAAATAAGTATTTATGTGATACTATGTATGTAAAATTTATTTATTTTTTTTATTATATAAAAAATAAAAAATAGGTGTTTGATTTGATATTTTTTTTAAAAAAAATTACGTAAATAGTATTTGTCCCCCGAAATTCTCTAAACAAACACACCCTGATTCATTTTTTTAAAAAAAATCACACAATGACTTCAGTTTAAAAGACAAAAAATTATATCTGAACAAAGGTGGTCTGGTGCAGGTGAGGTCATCTTCATACTAATTTGGCCCTGCACCAGAACACGTGTTCCTCATATTACTTCACGTATCGTAATCTAAATTTTATTTTGTGTATGTATACTTTCGGGATTTTGGTTTTGAATTTTGATTTTGAATAATTGTTTGACGTGGTAAAAACTAAAGTACTCCCTTCGTCCCAAACACCTTGTAACATTTCTTCTTTGGTATGTCCCAATCACCCTGCAACATTTCCAAAATACGAAATAATTAATTATATTTAATCTCTACCCCACACATCACATCACCCGATTTCTAAATTATCCTACTTAATACTACTCACCTAAAAAATTCGTGTCAAAATTAAATGTTGCACTTGTTTGGGACGGATGGAGTAAAATATAAAAACAAATTCGAACACAAAATAAAACCAGAGGCAAAAACGGGAACACAAAAACACAACCATCATCTAAACCAAAATTTCTAAGGATTTTCCCCACCAGCTAAACAACCAAAATAAATGGAAGAAATTTGAACCCTAGATCCATAATCCAACCAAACTAACTCTAACAGACACAATCTCAAATCAAAACACAACCATATCTAAAATAATCCACACATTAAATTCGGATCTAATCCAAACAATATTGCAACAGCCTTTATACCAACGAATCCACCAAGAAATGCAAAGTTTCCATTACAAAATAAATCAATCGACATCAAAATAAGATAATAAAGAAACCCTTCCCAATTGAAAATTTCTCGTGGAATTGGAAGGAAGAATTTTGCGAACATTATATATGGAATCCCAATCTATTAGGGAAGGGAAGCTGCCCGCTGCCTGAGGAGGGAGGACGGTGATGTTTCAACAGTGGAACGACTAGGATTTTAATCCGGCCGGCGGATACTGCGCAAGGCTTCCTTCACCTGCCGGTAACTTGGTTGGAGCGGAAGAACACGGCACCATATAAACACTTCGATAAAGTATAAAAGAAATCGAGTAACAACACAAATATTGAACTAGAATTGGTTAGGCTCAGCCCCAACCTAACTCGGAAAATCACAAAATCGACACTATACACACCTAAACTAGCGACTACACAAACGAACCCGCCACAACCGTGATACACACTATATATAACCCCACACAAACACAAACAAGGCACCCGAAGGCCTACAACGTCGAGCGAGCCCCTTTCGGCTACGAACGACTACACAAAAGGGGAAAACAAACGTGTCACAGGAACTCCACAATATTACAGGAGGAAGGCACCACCAAGAAACCGCCGTGAACCGCCGTGAAAGTCACCGGAAAGAGGAGAGCAGTGGGTCGAGAGAGAGAAAGGGGAAGGCCAGAGAGTAGTGCGTAAAGAGAGAGTGAGATTAGAGAGTTTTGTATATAATGACTCTCTCTCTATATGTATATATACATGCCAAATGGAAATGGACGGCTAAGATCAAGATCTGTAATCAACGGCCCAGATCAGGCCTCGCAAAAGGATGCGGATCCTAGGCAGGTCATGGGCAAGGAGCGCATCTCAGGTAAGGGTCAGCAACGGGTGTGGTTGTGGTGTGGGTTGTATATCACAAGCCAGGCCTGATTCGATCGGGCTGCATAATTGTTGGTGTGCAGTGTATTGGGGTGGATCCGAAGGACAAAAAATCCAACAAATCCTCCACCTGATTTTTCATCCAAGTAAATGGGGTTCATCATTGTCCATATAATCTTTACCTGCACCAAAAATAATGTTATAACAAAACATTAACTTAGCCTACCTACTACTCTAAGTAATATGAGGCTAATCAAAAGTATCACAATGTATGTATGTCATACAAAATACAAATTTATTTGCAGACAAAACTTTAGTACCCATATCAGATGGGTTATATTCAGATGGGATTTTCTCTAATTTTAAAATTCCTTTAGATACAATATCACGTATAAAATGAAAACGTACGTCAATATGTTTGGTCCTATCATGAAATACCGGGTTTTTGCATAACTGAATTCCTGACTGGCTATTCGAAAAAACAGTAACACTATGTTGTAAATAACCTAATTCACTGATTAATCCTTTTAACCACACTGCTTATTTTAAAGCTTCAGTAATTGCAACATATTCAGATTCTGTTGTGGATAGTGCAACAACGTGTTGTAATTGAGACTTCCAATTTATACAAGTCCCACACAAAGTAAAAACATAAGAAGTAGTACTTTTTCTACTATCCCTATCATTTGCATAATTTGAATCCACTAAACCCTCTAATTTAATATTTTCAGTATGTTTTCCAAACACAAGACCAACATTAATTGTACCAACTAAGTATCTAAACACCCATTTTAATGCATGCCAGTGTTCTAAACCCGGGTTCGACATATACCTACTTAAACAACTCATAACATAAGCTAAATCTGGCATAGTGCTAACCATTAAGTACATTATGGAACCTATAGCATTAGAATATGGCACACGTTTCATATATTCAAAATCAGACTCTGATTTGGGACATTGATCCCTACTTAGCACAAAATTAGAAGCCATAGGAACAGAAACAGATTTAGCATCACTCATAGAAAATTTCTTAAGAATTTTCGAAATATAAGTAGAATGATTTAAAAACAGTCTTGAATTTTTCCTATCCCTAGTGATACACATGCCTAAAATCACTTTGGCATCACCCAACAATTTTATGTCAAAATTATCACACAAACACTTAGTTACATTATCAATAAGCTTTAAACATGGACTAATAATCAACATATCATCAACATATATGAGAAGAAAAATAGGTTGGTTCTTAACAGTCTTATAATACAAACAATAATCAAATTTGCTTTTAATAAAATCAAGATTTTTTTTCATACAGTTATCAAATTTGATATTCAATTGTCTAGGTGACTGTTTTAAACCATAAAAAGATTTATTTAACAAACAAACATGACCCATTTTATTTTTATCAATAAAACTTTCAGGTTGTTTCATATAAATCTTCTCATTTAATTCACCATGTAAAAAAGCTGTTTTAACATCTAATTGTTTTAGCTCCCAATCATAAAATGCAATTAGAGCTAACATGACTCTAACAGTGGTAAATTTGACAACAGGTGAAAAAATTTCATTATAATCTATTCCTTCTTTTTGGGTAAAACCCTTAGCTACTAATCTAGCCTTAAACCTAATTCCACTATCTTCTTGTTTAACTTTATAAATCCATTTACAATCAACAAGAGAACAATTAGGAGGTTTAGGAACCAAACACCAAGTCTTATTATCATATAATGAATCCATTTATTCTTTATTGCTTTTACCCACTGATTTTTATTTTCAGAATTTATGGCCTCCCTATAAGTCTTAGGTTCATTACCATCTAAATCCTCAAATACACTAAAAGTCAAAGAAGACAAATCAAAATAACCAAGCCTAGTAGGCAACCTAGGGATTCTTCTACCCC